TGTGGGTGAACAAATAGTTTGTTGTTGGTATTTCCAACAAATTCAATGTCTTCAATGAACGTTCCCATCGGATTCAAAATACGTATTGTCCGCTTCGACTGTTTGGACACCGTGAAATTGTCTTTGTCAAGGACGCAGACTGCAAGGTTACCGGACGCCATGACTTTAATTCCCTTTACAATGTAAGGGGCCAGGTTTGCAGTCGTGCTAAATGTTTTATCACGAAGGTTGTATTCAAATATCTGAGATCCATTTTTCTCTGTTGTATAAAAATTGTCTTTTTGCCCCAGAGAAAAGTGTTCCGCCTCCCTGGTAATCCTATCACAAATCTGTCCATGTTTTTGGATTCTCTGTACTTCACAAGAATGTTTTCCACCAGTAATATTCATCCAAGCCTCACCTGAACTTATCGCAAATATGGACGAAACATTTTGGTCGTCACTTCCTACTTTCATTCTGGCGGGTGTTCGAATGTCTGCACTCAGGAAGATTCGGTTCGTTTTCCTGTTCTGTGCTCGCTCTTTACATCTCTTGACTCGGATTGGCGACCTGCGCTGCCTGGTCAGGGTAGTAGTGAATTTCATGTCATACGGATCGCTGTCTTCGCTGCTCCCACCACACTCCACATAGTCTGATCCCAAAGAATCCTCGTCTTCAATTTGTGCGAATACTTTCTTGATCTCGTTGCCAATATCAGGAAAAACGAAGTTGTGATGTCTGTAGTTTGGTATGGATACGGTTGGGATGGCCTTCTCTATCTCATGTTCTGCATTACGAGAGCAATCAATGACCGAGCTTTGGTTTTCAGAGTTTAGAACAAGGTCATACCCCTCCACCAGACACCTGACTGACCTTATCGCGGCTTTCAATTTCTCCACGGCATCGTCGTATTCCTTCACGTGGTCGTCCATCGTTTTCTTCAGATCTGTTAAGTACCCGTCCTTGGCAGCATCTACTGCAGCTTTCAGAGCTTTGGCCCTTTTCTCGACAAGATCTATCCTGATCTGAGTTTCTTCACAGAACGATTCCTTTTGTTTTAGGGTTCTCTCTGCTTTTTTCTCAAGATCTTCTATGGTCTCTTTTTTAGTCAGCTTCACAATGTGTTCTAACTCTTTTTTCTTTTCTTCCATGATATCGCGAAATTTTTTAAACACGTGTCCTGCGTGGCTTTGAGAAACACATTCGAGACACACATATACATTGCAGTTGGCACACATTCGCTGTATTTGTTCCCCTGCATGCTTGCTGCACTCCATCGTGTCTGGAACGCAAGACGCCATGTTTCAGTAGTGGTCCTTCGTTACACTACTCTCTTACATTTATAGACTTAAAGAGCCGTCGAAGCATAACCTGGCCTTCCCCTACAAAAATGTCTCATTCCTCGTATTGTCAAAGCGGTGTCAATCCCCAAAACGATTTGCTCTGATGATCACTCTTATGCCCTAAATAAATGAACGGAAGGCAGGCATGTTTAAGGACATATTATATAAGCCAAGAAGAAAAGATAAGTGACGTAAGAGGGCACTGAAAGAAATTCCACGAAAACAGATTTTATTTTTAATCAGAATTGCATGTGTTATGAATTAAAGTACCCGACACAACAGGTAATATATATGCATTTATGACAGTGGGAGGCATAAACAGATTACTCTACCTTTGAAAAATAAAAATTGAATCCACTGGACAATCATTCCTGAGATCAATAATAATAGGATTATAACACGCCGATGGTTATTTCAAAATATCAGACGTTTTCCAGTTGTTTTTTTTTTTTAAACAATTTTGATAAATACGTACCAGAAACAAAATATCAAAATCGTGAAAAAAGCCGGGAAAACGTAAGATATTGCGGATCGACTACAGCCGATAGTATTTATCATTTTTTTTTAAAAGGCCACGAATAAATTATATACATATACTTGTAAATGTATTTAATAAAGTTATTGCCTATAGCTTTTCCTGATCTTGTCCGGTAATGCTTAATGGATTTTTCGTGCTGCTGGTGTATTCGTAGTTACAAAATCTCAAGTAGTTTTAGTAAATTTGCATGAAGAGTGGAATTTTAAAGTACACTTGTATAAAATTGGCTTATTTTTTTGTGATTCATGGTTTGAACCTTCAAGGCCACGCTCATCACAAATGTTGAGTATCTTTTGAATGGCAGGTATTCATACGTTTTAAATTGTTTCCAAGAGTTGGTACCTATCAATATCTAACTAATGTCCCCAAAGGCGTTACTTTAATAAAATTGATTTCATTTTTTCACTTTTGTCCATGAAAGTGATGACTCAGAATTATAAGAAATTGACGCATATTAACCATCGTGTCATTAAAAGTACATGTTCACCACTTAACTTCTTTAAAAAGGATTACTAATATACTTTATGGAGACTAGCTAATGACAAGGGTAGCTTTGATACCATTTTAATGCCCTGTACTTCAATGGTTTTCTCGTGTTAAAAGATTCATAAAACGTAGTTTATATAATAAATTTATCTTATGAGGTTAATTTAAAATTAATACAACGTATTTATACAATGTATAACAAGGTCATTAAATGTTTCAATAAAAATCGACATCAATCAACAATCTGCTGCTGATGAAATGGGCGGGTATGTTTCATGTTTTTAAAACAATTCTTTCTAAATTTTAGAGCTTTTCAAATTATTTTCTCTGTTTAATTTACGTCTCTTGATCTTTATTGAATTATATCACCGGAGATTTCAGGTAATCCAAGCTAATTGGGTTTTAACACCTGTCATCGTTTGATATTGCTAAAATTATCTTTAGGCAAAATAACATCAAAAGGGCGATAATCCGGCTCTCAATTATTTTAAGGTTTTACTCAAGTGTCAAGACTTTTTATCTATTTATCTCCAAATGTCATTTTTACACATGTCACATTCTAATTGTTATATATACTGTTGATTTTGATTTGAATAATCAGTCGGAATTGGACAGCCGTCCCGAGCACACCGACCTGTATCAAAATTTGTCAGTTCCATATTAAAAGTTAAAACGCTGGTCGGAGTTTGTCTTGAATCTGTTTAATAAGACTCATAGCTGGAAAAGAACGCAAATCGTGGCTGACAGAATCTTTGGGCCGGATCGTCAGGAAAGCTGACGGATTCTTTGGGCATGCCGGATCGTCAGGGAACTCCAAGAGAAGTTCTTCAAGCGAGCAATAAGCCGTTCAAGTTTTCTAGTGGGGTCTTATTCTAGCACGGCCCGAGTGTTGATCGGGTTGGTGTAATCATTAAAGATGTGCTAATTGGTGGAGAATCCGGGTACAACACCACCTCTCATGAAGCTAAGCGAGTATTCCCCAAATGCCGAAGTTTCCGAGAAGAAGGACCAGCTTTAACATTGGACTGACATGCAGTTCCGACCACAATGGCAAGTTTCAGCGCCGCTTTGCAGCAGATGTAACAGACGGCATTACTCCATCTGCAACGCCTTGGAGAAACACTGCCATAGATGTGGACAAGAGGGACATTTCAGCAGAGTGTGCGGAGAACGTTCATCCCGCGCTGTAAAGTCAGAGGCAAAGAAGAAAAGAGACACCGAACGACTGCAAGACTACATCAGCAGGAAAAGATTGTTCCGGGTGCTACCGTTTACAAGTTTAAGTGATTCGAAATTTAAAGAGTGTGTAAATTTAAAATCAGTGTTCACAACAGAAGTTCAGTGCGTGATACAAGATCTTAAGTATTCTAAAGCATTAACGAAAATGGACATCGAACTTCTGGAGTGGAAATTACAGGAGAAATCAAAGGCCATCGAAGAAAAAGACCAACAGATAAAACTGTATACAAAATACTTAAACTATGCCATGTCGGACCTTAAGAAACTTTCCGAACGTGTTTCCCATTACAACTGGCTTGTGGAAAATTATGAAATGGAAAATATCGTTCTAAGATCCGTCAAACAGAACTGTGTGTGTAACCGAGATGCGAAAAACAGTAAACTTGCCCGAGAAGAGTATAGACACTTTAAAAATTCCGAACTATACAAAGAAATTCTGAACACTAAATTTTAATTTTTTTTTTACTTAACCATGTTTAATTTTGTTCTGATTTTGTTTTTAAAGTTTGAGGGCAAACTTTTTGTGGCAATGGGAGAATTGTCATATACAAATTTTAATTGAAAAATTCAAATTTTTGTAGAGGACAGGTTATCATGATGAAATTTTATTGTTCTAAAATATTTATCTAGTTTCTGAAATTAAGCTTATGTTTCATGTTTTTAAAACAATTCTTTCTAAATTTTAGAGCTTTTCAAATTATTTTCTCTGTTTAATTTACGTCTCTTGATCTTTATTGAATTATATCACCGGAGATTTCAGGTAATCCAAGCTAATTGGGTTTTAACACCTGTCATCGTTTGATATTGCTAAAATTATCTTTAGGCAAAATAACATCAAAAGGGCGATAATCCGGCTCTCAATTATTTTAAGGTTTTACTCAAGTGTCAAGACTTTTTATCTATTTATCTCCAAATGTCATTTTTACACATGTCACATTCTAATTGTTATATATACTGTTGATTTTGATTTGAATAATCAGTCGGAATTGGACAGCCGTCCCGAGCACACCGACCTGTATCAAAATTTGTCAGTTCCATATTAAAAGTTAAAACGCTGGTCGGAGTTTGTCTTGAATCTGTTTAATAAGACTCATAGCTGGAAAAGAACGCAAATCGTGGCTGACAGAATCTTTGGGCCGGATCGTCAGGAAAGCTGACGGATTCTTTGGGCATGCCGGATCGTCAGGGAACTCCAAGAGAAGTTCTTCAAGCGAGCAATAAGCCGTTCAAGTTTTCTAGTGGGGTCTTATTCTAGCACGGCCCGAGTGTTGATCGGGTTGGTGTAATCATTAAAGATGTGCTAATTGTCATATACAAATTTTAATTGAAAAATTCAAATTTTTGTAGAGGACAGTATGTCTGTCCGTCCGTCTGTCTGTTACGCTTTGCAATTCCTCTTATACCACTGAGTGAAACTTTCACAGAATCTTTATTACATATTGATATTGTGCACCTCCTATTTTACTTTTTGATCCGACACATATTTTGGGTTTCCCGGCCACAGCATTGAAAACATGGACTTTTCCATTATTACCAAATGGGAGGTGGGGATATCATTTAGTGAGCTCTAGCTCACAGTACCTCTAGTTTATAGTATACGTCAACTATTCTCACACTTTGTTACCCTAAACCTATAACAAAAAAGTTTTAAAAATTAATAAACAATAAATGATTTTGTTTAGCGAGTCCCCATTATAACCCACTGCTGTGACGAAAATTTGTAAATACCTCTTCTTCATTACGTGAAAAAAGGGATTAAAATTTTAGAATACACAGGTTTGGTTTAAGCATCTCATAAGGGGAGTTTGACTTGCATTTGAATTCCTTTCTATACTCTTCTCTTGAAAAGCGGGAGGGTATAAACCTAGTGATCGGGATTTCCGTCCGTCCGTCTGTACGTCAGTTACGCTTTGGGGTACCCATTTCTTATCTGCAACTCCTCTGATACCACTGAATAAAATCTAATGTAGTTTCACAGATTCTTTATTACGTAATGTGCACCTCTATGTCACGCCAAATTCACAAAAATGAGCTAAACATAGTTTCACAGTCTATAAACTAGGTTTATCGGTTGTAAACTATAGTTTTCGGACTGTAAACTATAGTTAAGAGTCAGTCCGCTAGAAAACCATGCAGAACTGTCCAAATCGAACGTTGTCATATCTTAATGAAATTTGGTGGGTAGTTTGACTTTATAATATGTTATTCAAAAATGGCCAAAAAAATTCCCATCATTCAACATGGCAGCCGTAGGCAGCGCCAACTCCTTTTTGCACATTTAAGTACAAATGCACTTAAAAAATTCAAGAAAAATGGTAAAATTCACATTTAAATTATTTTTCTCAAATTAAACTTGCATTTCCATTAAGGTATTTTTAGTAACGTAAGACTATGTTCTTTCAAAATTGACATTTATCATAATCAAATATGCAATATATCAAAGGGCAGACAACTCTTGAAAATTGGCATGATGCCAATTTTCAAGAATTGCCAAAAGCATTACAAATTTAATGCCCCAAATCTTCCAAGACCAATCTTTGAAATTAATTTTTTTGATTTTATTGTACAAATATAACTCTAAACATTATCTTTGCAAAATATTGAGCTTGGGATATGATAAATAATTATTGAGATATGGGGATTTACAAATTGCCAATTTTTGAAAAAATTGCTCAAACTCAAATGGGTTACAAAGTCAAATATAGTACTTAAAATTATAAACAATTTATGTTAGATATTGAAACATGTAACAATTTTCTTTGAAATAATAATTAAGATTGAAAAATATTAAAATTAAAAATTAAATTAAACTAAATTGTCAGAAATTACCCCTAATATGAGGATTAGCATTTTGCCAATTGTTTAGAAATGAAAAAAAGCTTACTTGCAATTTT